TATATATATATATGGACCAGGATGGATCCAAACGGACTTCTTAGACCCTAACCATACCCACGGGTCCAGTCCAGTTCAGTTCATCCCACTTTCAGTAATGGTAGACCCCCCCACCCCATTAAAACAGCTGGACACAGCAGGTCAGCAGGTGAGGCCTCTCCAGGTGTGTGAAGCTGATAAAACACACAACAGGTTGTGTGAAAGTTACACAAACACAAACCATTAGTTTACAGCTGGGCTGTTTGTAGCTTCAGACTGAGCTCAGACAGACGAGCAGAACCACCGAACCGAGCCATAAAACCAACAGTGAGCCGTACCTGGAGCAGGTCTCAGCCGGACACCTGGTCCCCGGGCCGGACCCGGGGCTGGGGTCCAGGTCTGTCCCCCCAGCGAGGACACCAAGGTCTGGCTGAGGCTCAGCGAACACCGGCGGGCTGGATTCATCCCTCACCGGGTCTGTTCCGGTCCCCTGGCTCTGAACGGACCGGGCCGAACCGAACTGTTCGGTGACTGAATGTTCGTGTCCAGCTGAATACACTTCAGCAGTTCGGAGAAGAGCCGGTACCGGTCGGTGAGAGTTACATCATGTTCCGGTTACCAAACACCGAGGGGTCAAAATGGTTCGGTCCGGTCCAGTTTAAAGAAGACTGCAGTCTGAAGAACCGAACTGGACCTGAGGGCTCTGACGGAACCAGATTAATAATCTTAATCTGGTTACTTCCTGTTTGAACAGAAAGGTTAAAATAAAACGGACAGGTTCGGTCCCTCCACCCCCCCGGGGTCCAGTTGGTTCAGTCCATCCTGTCGTTACTGGTAACATGAGGAGGAGGGCGGGACTTCTTCATCTCTGAGCCAATCAGCTGCCAGAACTCTGACAGACCGACGCGACGTCAACAGGACGCCTCCAGCACGCAGACTGACGTCACTCTGAGGCAACAAACCACGTGTTAAACATCAGGAACATCTGGAACATCTGGTCCTCATGAACCGACAGGCAGTCATCATCATTTTTTATTTATATCATCATCATTTATTATTTATATCATCATCATTTATTATTTATATCATCATCATTTATAATGTCACAAACACGTTTATAAAGAGATTTTAAAAACTAATGTGAAGTTTTACAGAGTCTGGGTTGTTTTAGTACATAATACTACTGTACTTCTGTATGTAAAAGTACTACTTTGTGTTTTTTTACAGTAAACAGTTTTTGTTACTCAGTGTTCTGCTGCTCAGATGGAGTTAGTCCAGTTCAGACATGTTTACACTGCACATGTCTGGGAGCAAAGACCAGTGGGGTCAGAGGTCACCAGTCTGACTAACTGGTTGTTGGTCCACCCAGTGAGCTTCAAACTCACAGAGTCCCTGTGCAAACATTAAACCTGCTTCCACACAGTACAATGTATCAAAACAAAAGTTCTGTGTACAATTGTGTAAAAATACACAAAGCTTTCACCTGCAGTGACAATCTGCACACAAACTGTTTGAGTACTTTGTCAATAAACACACAAAGACCACTTCTTTTATTTTTTTTATTTTTCTGAACTCAGGACTCAGAAACATTTCTGGTTTAAAGCTGAACAATGAACTGAAGCAGACAACAGAACAGAAAACACACCTCAAACATGAGACACACAACCTCACACTGTTGTGTTTGTGTAGATGTAAACATCTGCAGGCTCACAGACACAAGACAAGCAGAAAACCCACGAGACACTTGGTTCTGACCGAGCAGGAAACTGCTGAATCAGCAGATCAGTTCAGAAGAACTCACCTTTAAAGTTGTGAGTAAATATACATAGGGTTGTATAAAGTACCTTCAGTAAAAGTACAAGTATCTTACCAAAAAATTACTTTGGTAAAAGTTCAAGTCTCCTCTAAGAATATTACTTGAGTAAAAGTCTCAAAGTATCTAATATATTTTGTACTTAAGTATCAAAAGTAAATTTCTGACATAAAATGTACTTAAGTATTAAAAGTAAAAGCGTTGAGTAAAAATGTAAAACATTTTCCAAAATGACATTTATTGGGAGGTGA